GTAATCACTGGTTTTCGGCATTTTATTAGTAGATCGTTTTATCACATGACCGCATAATTTTGCAAAGAGCGATAATATACTTTATTAACAGTGAAATTTGTATAACCTATTATTTAAAATGCACCCATATGAAATTTTAAGTTGATTATAATGGTATAGATTTTAGAACTAATGTTTTTCCTATTCTGTTTGAATCACGTTGACATCATGTGTGAAAATTCACAATGTGAGTGGTGAATCTTGTGAAGTTTCAAGAAAAAGAGAATCAAAACACTTGCTTATGATATTCTTTTTTGACAAGATTTTCTTGCACAGAAAAGGAAGAAAAATCCTTGTGTTTTTATTGTAATCTTAATGGTAATTGATTTTGTAATAGTAATCGATTTGAAATTGATATCTATTTCAAAATCGATTTCTATTAAGAGTGACTCTCCACCCACCTTCCAGAAATCTATGTTCTTTATATAAAAAATAAATAATTCAAAGAATATAATAGATTCATATAATGGATTTTTAAAAAATTTATTACACGAATCTATTATATTCTTTGAATTATTTATTTTTTTTAATCAAATATAGTAAAGTGATAAAATATAAAAGTAAATGGAGTGTCATTATTTATAAATAAAAAATAAAAAATTTTTGTTACACCATATTTTCATTATATTTAGATATTTTATTATTATATTTATAATTTATTATTTATTATGGTTTAATCAAATGTGATAAAGTAATTAAATATAAAAGTTAAATGTTATTATTTATAAATTCCACTGATAAAAAATAAAGATATTTTCACTGGATTTAGGTATTTTAAATATTATTATTTATTATTATTATTATAATTTAACCAAGACATGATAAAGTAATTAAATGTAAAATTAGATGGAATGTTCTTATTTAGATATTTTATTATAATTATTCATTATTATTGAATTATTATGGTTTAACCAAATATGATAAAGTAATAAAAATATAAAGATAAATATTATTTGACAATATGAAAAAAGATTTAAACAATAAAATAAAAAAAACTCAAGTTTTCACATAAGATTTCAAATTCCTTTCCTTTTTCTTTTCTTTTGAAATTGAATATTTTTTTGAGATAAATAGTAAAAAAATAGAATTCTGAATTTTTTCCCTTGATAATAAAAAAGCTTTTTTAGTTAAATTTTTCTTCTTAAATTAAAATACTTGTGAAATTAATAACCATCTGCTATATTTATAATTTCACTGATCACATAGTATTTGATTTTACAATTAAAGAAATCACTGGTGTTGTTAAACTGGATAACAATAATTTCCAAAAAATTATGTATTTGAGAATTAAAGTTTTTGTTCCACTGGATTCAACTATAAAAATACAAATTGAGGAGTTTGAAAAGAAACAAGTGATCCTTTTAACTGGAAAATTTGTAGTCAACAATAGATGATATGCAGTAAGTACCTTAAATAAATCTTGATTAATGAAATTAAGAAATGAAAAAAAAGAGAATACTAATTAATTGATATATTTTTATTTTAAGGTGAGTGTCACATCTATTCAAGTTTTATTAAATTTAGAATTTGATACCATACCAGCTATAAATCTTCAAGTAATGTTAACTGGAGTAACTACACAAATAGTTCAAAACTTTGAAGAAAAAGTAGTAATAAATTTTTTTATTGAAAAGTATTTTGGAAATAGGGAGTCTAGGAATTTTTGAATCGAGATGAGGTATGAAATCAGCAATCAATATCTCACAAATAAAACCAATATAATAAATTTGAATAGCAGGTCAATAACGGTTACCTTAATAGGTTCTATGAAATACAAACCTTCAGTTATTGACCTTACAACTTTCCAAGAGACTGAATTAGAAAAACACATTTTAGAGTTGGTTGACATGTCTATACTTTTAACTAACCATTCAAAAGAAAATAGAAGATCTTTGAATATTCTCTGATCAAATAACTCTGGAAGAACTAATAGATCAACTCGTGATGTCACACCAAGAACTTCAACAAGAAGGGGCTATACAACATTATCTCAAATGGATTCAACTGTAAAGGTGGCATTATATACAAATTCAATTTCTAATATGAATATTAATCAACAAATCCTATCAAATCAATCTTCACCAAATCAACTTTCATCATCAATTCAACAAGATAATAATAATAATTAAAAAAATATTCTTTTATTTTTAATCATATACTTTTTAAACTGTTACTTATAATGGTACAGATTAATTAAAGAAAAAAAATAGGTTATTTTTATTTTATAGTTTAAAAAAATATTATTTAAATTTATACAATTTCAATTATACATTTACAAAAATATTATTTATATAATAAATTGATTGACTGATTATTTTAATTTATAATTATATTTTTTACAAAATTAATTTAAACTTTTATATAATTAACAATCTGCTTTAAATGAATAATTCATTTATATTATTTTTTTTTTGTATTTAAATAATAAATTTGATTAATTAATGGTTTTAAAACTAATTTAAACTTTTATACAATTAACAATTTGATTTAAATGGATAATTCATTTATATATATTTATATATTTTTTATCTATCTACAAGTTTAAATATAAAAATAAAAATAAAAATAATATTAAATGTTGCACTATATTTGAATAAATTAAATCTGTTATAAAATAAATATAAATAGAGTTAAAAAAAAAGGTAAAGTTTTATAAAATAATAAATAGTATTTTTATATTATTCTTTTTACAAAAATACAAAAAAAATATTTAGAATAAATTATCAACTTCACAACACTGGTCGAAAATTGATAAATAATATACATATCGGGTATCCAATATGTGTATTATTTATTAATTTTTGATTAATGTAATGTATACACAATTGACAATGAATATGAAATCACATTAGATTGAACTGATAATTCCAATTCTATGGTAATTACTAATAACTCTCATAACCAAATACAATCAATTGAAAATCAAACAAATTTATTACAACTATCTTATTGAAAACCTTCTTTAAAATTACAAAGACTATATGATAAATTTTAAAACAATATTTTAAAACAATGGCCTCGAATTACATGTGTTTATTGTGAAAAATTATTATATCCTGAGAAGGCATGTTAGATAATTTATAATTTATCCTTAATATATCCCTTACAACAAAATATTCCAGATGTAATTCTGTCCTTCCACCAATATACAAATTGTATTTCTGAAAATAAGATTTTCACATGTGACTCTTGTAAAAATTCTTCTACGAGATTTTTATTTCCCTACTTTAGGGATGGGAGGTGCAATACGAATTGAGCCAGGAATTTAGCCAATTGAGTCCAGGAATTAGCCTTGATGCAATTGGACACAATGGCTAAATTCTGGCGCAAAGGCTAAATGCTAGTGTAATTCTGATTGGCTGGTGCAAAGGCTAAATACTAGTGCAATTTTAATTGGTTGGTGTAAAGATTAAATGTTGATGTAATTTTGATTAACTGATATTAAGATTAAATTTTAGTGCAATTTTGATTTATTAGTATAAAGGTTAAATGTTAATGTAATTTTGATTAATAATATAATTGTAAAATTTATTGAATA